CCTACTCAGCCTGCACCACGTTTAAATGATTGGTCACAGTATTCAACGAATGAGTAGGCTAGTTTTTGTTAAATTGCTGGACTATTTCTGATATCAACATTCTAGAAGTGCAATTTAATTTGTGTCTTGGACTTGATAACTTCTGTTTGCCTAATAAAAACATATCCAAATGTGGGAAATGCATATCCAAGTGATCGTTATTCTCTGCAGAACCTTCATTTTCTTTACTTAGGCTAGAAAGCCATCACCTGTTGGTAATCCCAAAATGTTTATTGGTACCACAATGTTACGACAAATCATGAATGTGGATCCTATATTGTTTGCTTTGCTTTGATTGGTTAAATTGTCCTCTAGTATCGTCTAGTGGACAAAACATAAATAACAACTACATGCTGCTAAGCACATGGGCCATTGACATGCGGTATGGCAAAAGGTTTGCCGGAGTAATTAGTAAAATTGCCTTTACTGTAAAAGATAAACAATACAAAATTTTAGCATTAAAATATTTGAATATTCAAAATGATAAAGCATACAAATTCAAATGGGATTATAGAGGAATATATGCAGCCCCAGTGGGGATTTCAATATACAGTAGATCTCCAAAATACATCAACAGCAACAGTAATTGCTAATATTTGTATAAATGTTGTAAAAAATACTGCCAGAAGTGGCCTTTTAATTAATGACATAATGACCATTTACCAGTGAAGGCGGTTGGAATGGAGAAGGTCAAATATTGTTTCACAGAGAAGTGAATGAAATCTATTGTAGCAAAATCTAAAAATAAGACATCAACTGATAGCGATGGGATTGATATGTTTATTGTGAAAAATACTATCGACTGTATAATTAAACCAATTAGCCATTTTTTTCAATCTTTCTTTTCGTATAGGTTGTTGGAGCCATGGATGGATCCAAGTATCTTTGTAGTATTTATTTAAGGCTAAGGTAGTGTGTTATATAGTGGTGTTTTGGGTTATTGATTATTATATCATTTATTAGGATTATATTAAGTAGGGGCATATCGGGTCACATGGGTATGGGCGGAGATGTTGTATTGATTTAACTCACCTGTTAACATCAGGAAGAGAGAGGGTGAGCTGGGTCACTGTATTTTTTGTTGACTCCTTTTGTGTCTGGCTGACTGTGATTATGAGTTAATTCATGTTATCATAAGTTGATTATATTTTTTTGTTAATAAAAAGTCAAACTTATTTTACATATCACAGTATTCTTTTGAAAGCTTGCAGACAAGATATTAGGCCCAACCTTAGCCTCTCAGGAAAGCCGCTACAGGTTATTCTGCTTTTTAAAAGGGGAGGCAAACACAGCTTTACTAATTACAGACTAGTTTCCTTATATCACAATTTTCAAAAGGTACTTGAAAAAAATTTTGCACAAAAATGTGAACATTATATTGAAAAAAAATAATTTGTTAAGTGAGAGTCAGTTTGGTTTTCTGGAAAAAACGGTCTACAGCTTTATTGAAAGATTGAGTTACAGACACTCGTAGTTCTGTTCAGTTCAAAGAGTTAAGTATTTTTAACAGTTAGTTTGTAGTTGTAGTTTGTAAGAACAAAGTAGGAGATTTAATCTTAAGCATCAGTTTGCACAGACAACAGATCAAACTGTCTTAAAATAATGACATGATGAGATGTGTGAAGATATTTCCCTTTAAGAAAATGTACAAGGAGAGAATTATTAGACTGTATGAAATTGGCAGCTTGTTTTGCTTGTTTTCCTCCTTATTTAAGGAATGGAAGTGAAGTCAAAGACTCTCAATTGTCAGATATGTTTTATGTGGCCATGGTATTGGTTACCGAGTGATTGTGACTGGACAGACCACTCGGATATTTCTTGTTTTATTTCGAGTAAGGGGCCGGCAAAATAAGATTTATTCTTCTCCCTGCTCCTTTCCGAACATGGACTGGGATAAATTGTGAACGTTGTGTGTTTTGACATGTGCAGAACAAATAAAAACTTTTATGTCCCCTTACTACCACGTGTGTAGTCCTGTAACTCTGGGCCGTCTAATTTGCGACATGGAAGCAACAGCGGGAGCAAAGTTTTGGAAACTTAACAGACACAAAGCTACATTATTTGATAATCCAAGGATATCTGGGTGGTGACTGGCTGCTATATTCTTTCTCTGTGTTTGTGTGTGTGTCATAAATGGTGGAGAAACAAATCTGGCTTGATCCGTGGTCCGTTCGGATCAACCTGACGGTTCGGGCCTCACATGACCCGCGGATCGATGGAAAATGTTGAAACATGGTGTAGCCTTAAAGGTGCACTGTGGAATTCTGGTAGAGAAATGTAAAAGTTGAAGAAGTGTACAGATTCTGTGGTAAATGTTGGTAACTCTGCACACAAACTGTCCTCAGAGGAAAAATTTGGTCCCTGTGACAGAATGAAGATAAAATGCTACACTAGAAGTTATGGTGGAGGGCCCGAAACAGTAAAAGCGTCACTCTCCTGACAGTGTACGAGGACCCATTTTTTCCTTTGAGTAAAGTTTGTGCATTTAGTTCAGAAAATATACCATGGAATTGTTGAGTCATGGAATTGAAAAGTTCTCCAACTTTAAAATTTCACACCAAATCTGCAGAGTGCATCTTTAAAAACACTGGAGATATGCCTTCTAACCTATACAGCTCCTCCTGGAAAGATCCGGAGTTTTCTGCAAGTGTCAAAGCCCAACAGGGGTAGGGTATCCACATACTTGTTGGAATGGAGGGGTAGGGCCCTTTAAAAAGAGACACACTATTATTTAACATTGTTATTCACCCTATTGATGACTGTAGGAGCCAGAATGTCTATTTTCACCTCGCTTGATTCTTTTTTGTTAGATTTTGCTCCTTATATGGGGTTTATATTATTTCCAGTATTTAGCAGTGGGCCTGGATAATTGAAAGGCTCAAATATATTTTTCGGCTCCAGAGGGATTTTTTTTCCCCCACTTCCTGTGGTGTAAATATTGCGCATGCGCACATCGCGACGACGATACTGAAACGATATATCGTGCAGCCCTAGTACAAACCCACTTAGTCTCATTTTGCAATCTTAAACCACCATAGATGCATCAGGGTCTTGAAGGGTTGTCCCATTTTGAAGGGAGATACATACTTCTTCAAACCTCCCATCCTTTACTCAGTGTTTCAAGAACTACTTCTGAAAAAATGATTCCCCCAAACAAAGACACGGGCAGTCATTTCAGGTCTTCAAAAGAGAGAGAAAAGAGCCCTTAAATTGTGCTGCCTTTAAGCCCTGTGGCCTATTATTTGTCCTGACAACAACATTCTGAGATTAGGCAATATGTGACTGCATAGTGAATAAGCCTGTATACCTTTAAAACGTTATGCCTCTTATGTCTGCATGTAACTCATTTTAACTGTGATGTGTAGGCATACATTTGAAAAAATAATTATGAATGTGTGCATACTAGTTCTATTGGAACCAAATTCTGGTTTGAATACAAAAGCTAAAATCAGTCCTCGAGAGTGTCCTCAGTTGGCACCAAAGCGTAATAAAACTACATATATTTGCAGTCACAGACTTATGGAACCCCCCCACCTGACAAAAAAAGAGGCTTCCTACCACTGCACACTACGGAGAAGGTATTAGTCCCAGTGGTCACCTTTGTTTTAACCTGTCGTCATTGCACATTCTTTTCTTTTTTTTAAACTAAAGACAGTCCTTGTTGAATGTGATTGATTGGACTTCATTGTCTGAAAAAGTATGACATTTTGTTTACATCACAGCTGCTTCATTTGAAACCTAAAAGATTTAAGACAAGATACAAAAATATAAACATCTGACAATATTCAAACACCAAACTCATTTTTAAAGGCTTGCAATGTCATTTGATCTGGGATTCAGCTCCATTTTCAACATTAGGATTGAGTGGTGTACAAAAGAGTATTTCGCACTGACCTGATTCAAACATGGGAGCCTGTATCTCTGGTTTGATGGTAACATTTCTAAATCTGTGTTCAAGGCATTGTTAGGGACAGAGACGATGCTGTTAGCCAGCCTTAACATGTTTTTACAGTAGACTGATTCAGAGTTGGACTAACTTTTGAGCAGATTTGTAATTGTTGGAGCAGTTTAGACTTTAATGTAGTGGACAGTGAACCATGTGGTGTTGCAGCTCTGTAGGACACTATCAATCACACAGAAGTATATATATACATATATATATCATCAATCATTACACCCAAATATTTAACACTTGATCCATTTCCCCATTATGATTAACAATAGGGCCTTTGTGAACAACAGAAACACAAGTTCCTCTGTTGAACTTACAGCTGACGAGGAGACAGCCCGGGTTGTTCTTGTACAGAATGTAATGGTTTTAAGATAACCCAGAGTGGATTAATGCTGTTAGACGCTCCACTGTTCCTGTGAGGGAACAAAAGAACAGACTTCTCCTCATCCTGAACATTACTGACTCATAAGACTGACTGAAAGTGTAAAGACTCCTGACAGGGATCCTGATACTATCGTTAGCTAACGCTAACTAGCCAATGTTAGCTAGTTAGCGATCACTATGCTTGATGAAGAATGTCGACCCTTCGCTTCTCAAACAGCAGCATTATTGACCCAGAAACATAGAAAAATGCACAAATACATCTGGACTTTCATCCTACAGCAGTGTAAGCAGAGGGATTATCCTCTAAATATAAGCAAACATCCCTGATGTGACGTTCAGGTGTTACGGTAAAAATGTGACCATGTTAAATGATGTCTTTCAGACAAATCAAAGTTACCCCACGCACCTGAGGCTGTCACATCTCAACACTGAGGAAGATACGAGGGCCCGTTCAGTTCTGCTTACTGTCTTAGTATAGGCTACCGGGATAGATAGTAAAGTCTCAAGCAACGTTTCCTTAGCAGGAGCTAGCTGCGGCTAACACTGTTAGCACACTGCTGTGTGCGTCTGTTAGCTAAAGGCTATGAGCAGTAAACACGTTTCCAGCAGTGGAAAGAAAACCTACCTGCTCTCTGCAGCTTGATTTCAGGTGTTAAAGTCACATCCATCTTTCCTCTGTCGGTGGAGCTCCTCTTCGTATCCACATGTTGTTGTTTCTGATATATCTCTGATAACCGCAGCGAGCAGCCGTCTGAATAAATCTTTAAGATCCTGAAACCCGTCAGAGTCAAAGAAGGAGAACTCAACTCAACGCTGAAGTCTTTTCTAACATATCTCTGATAACCTATAACCCTAGTTAGCACAGACACACAATGCTAACTGTGAGAGGGCCGGGAGATGGCCTGGTGATACTGGTGAGTTCCGGTTACGTTACGTTCCCTGCACTTCTTCGTTGGTTTTTAAAGGCGGTTTAGCATCCAAGAAGCTGCATTACCGCCTCGCTTTTGGATATGAAATAATACTACAGCCTTTATATTCTAACTCGATTAAACTTTGAGGAAATAACACTTGAGGATTTGGAAGAGAAGGACCACCTCTTAAAGTATTTCTGCTTTTTGGTGACATACAAGTAAAAACTGTTTCTCTCTGACAGACTCCGACTCTCTGAGACTTGAAGACTCTTCATAATAACATGTTAACAGGAGAATTAGAAAGATGTTTTTCATACTAATGATGAATAACTCCTTCACCTTTTACCTTCACCTTTTACCTTATCCATGAACATTTTCAGACTTTAATAGTGTCAGGAGTGCAGTGTGTGAGTCTGTGAGTATGAGATGGTATAAAAGCGAAGAATGGTACACACTAGGATGACATGATGACCACGAGCTGGCCTGATGACCGAAGGCTCTACCTCCCATAGTACATTTAGAGACCGTAGGTACCACGAGCAGGCCTGATAACCGAAGGCTCTACCTCCCATAGTACATTTAGAGACTGTAGGTACCACTAGCCTGCATTCTGGGACTGTAATGTTCTTGAAGGGTAGTTCGGCACTATTAGCTCCTTAAGATAAGATGGTGCCTGGCCATTTAGAGCTTTGTAAGTAAGAAGGATCTTGAATTCTATTCTAGATTTCATAGGGAGCCAGTGCAGAGAAGCCAACACAGGAGTAATGTGGTCCCTTTTCCTAGTTCTAGTCAGTACACGAGCTGCAGCGTTCTGGACTAGAGTCTTTAGAGACTTACCAGAGCACCCTGATAAAAGAGAATTACAATAATCCAACATGGAGGTAACAAATGCATGAACTAGTTTTTCTGCATCATTTTGCGACAGGATATGCCTGATCTTAGATATATTACGAAGGTGAAAATAGGCTGTTCTTGAAATTTGCCTGATGTGAGAGGTAAAGGACATATCTTGATCAAATAGAACTCCTAGATTCCTAACGGTGGTGCTAGATGCCAGGCTGATGTCATTGAGGACAGTCACAATACTAGAAAAAAGTCTCTCTGAGGTTTTTAGGGCCTAGCACAATAACTTCAGTCTTGTCTGAGTTAAGTAGCAAAACATCTCCAGGTCCTAACGTCCTTAAGGCACGTTTCTAGTTTACATAACTGACTGGTGCCATCAGGCTTCATTGATACATAAAGCTGAGTATCATCTGCATAACAATGAAAATTGTTTCCTCATAATATTACCCAGAGGAAGCATATATTATGTAAAGAAAATCGGTCCTAGCGCTGAACCTTGTGGCACTCCATGGCTAACTTTGGTGTGTATAGAGGACTTTAGAGGAAATTAGATCATAACTAATCGGTATGTCCAGAGATTTAAATAATCAGAATCCGGTTGATGGAGAAGTGAACAGACGCGTGACCGAGGGTTCCGGCTAAACTTTAGCCTACCTTTCATTATCACAAGCCAACGGCAATTTACCCATCGAACAACATCTGTCAGATACTGTATATAAAGAAGTGCTGTGTCGTAATAAACAACCCAAAGCCGAAACCACAGACAATAATAAGCCGAGCAACGAGCTGCTTGGCTAATCTAGTAAACATGGCTGCCACCTCGGCAATCAGTGGAGTTTCACCCAGCGACCCTGACCCAGTCACCAAGAACGAAATTGAGGCTTTACTTACTAAACAGCATGAAAGCTTCAAAGCCGACATGACTATCCTGATACAACAATCAACAGAATCCCTGAAGTTCTCGGTTGACTCAATCGGACAACAAGTGAATCATTCTCGCTAAAACAAAAGTTTTGGTGGGTTGAAACTTTGAAAAACTTACGGAGATGGAAAACATTGTTAAATCTCTTCAATTACAAACAACGGTACTCCTGGAACGGGTGGATGACCTCAAAAACAGGTCCAGACGTTCCAACCTGAGATTAATCAACATACAAGAAGGAAGTGAGAAGGATGTAGACCCGACAAAGTTTATTTCCGAATTACTGATGAGGTCTGATGGTACCTTTGATAAACCTCCCAAAATAAAGTGAGCCCTCCGCTCCCTTGCTCCCAAACCGGGAGACAGCAACTCGGGGAGACCGATAGACATAGTCAAATCCCTCCAGTACCAGGTGAAGGAGAAAGTCTTAAGATGGGCCAGCCAACACAAAATTACAGCGGCTCCACGTTGAAAGTATAACCGACATCAGCTCCGCCCTGGCAAAAAAACGTTAAAAGCTCCCTCTACCTGAAAGGAATACAATTCTGGCTGCTGCAACCGGCTTGTCTCCAGGTATCGTTTCAAAACAATAACTACTACTTTGACTCTCCACAAAAAGCCCAGTGGATGCACAGCTTTGACACCTGCTTTGCCTGGACTGAATGTGCATTAAACCCAACAAAGACTCAGGAATAGACAGCTTTGGATCATGAACAGATAGTTCTGGACAAGCTGAACATTTAAAACAAAGTTCTTTGTGGCCTCTGAGTTCATACCTGTGTAAATAACCCGATGTGGAAATAATGAGGTATGGGCACACCTTGACAATCAGCAGTTAACGTTATATTAAAATCTATTTCCTTAGACTCCTGAATGGGTGTTTCATTAGCCTATAAACATGTTTGTGTTTTTATTGCTTACTTTTTATTTATTTGCAAGTTAAAACGGCTTCTATCGTATAAGTGATAGCCTACTATTTTACGTTACATTTTAGGTAATGTGAGGAGAGGGGAGGAGGGGGAAAAAAAGAAAAGAAAAACGTTTTCTATGCCATAACTATGTTGACATCAGCGGCATTCCGTGTTTAATACTCACACTTAGGATGTCGCAGAGACACTCCGCTAGAACTATTTTATTTATTTGTTATTTCGCTTGATTAACAAAGCCTAAATATATTTGTTATTGCCGGTGGTCATCACTTAATGGGAATCCCCCCCCCCCCCCGCACAGGATGATGTCGACCGAGGAAAACTCCTTCCCTTTGTAGTTCCGCTGTAAGTTTTTCTACTTGTTTATTTTTTTACTCTCCCTTCCTCCTTTCAACAAAGCAATATGTGTCTTTCCCATATACAGTACCTTAATGCTAGAATATGGCTAATATAACAAGAAATGGAGGAGTGGAGCGCTGGTGGCGCGGTGGTTGGTGCACACACCCAATGTATGGAGGCTATGGTCCTCCAAGCGGGCGTCCCAGGTTCGGGTCCCACCGGTGGCAACTTTCCTGCATGTCGTTCCCTATAAAGGGATCAATGGCCCAGTCAAGAGAGGTAGAATATTCTCCCAACTAAAACACCTTAAAACCAAAATTGCTTTCTTACAACGACCCATCTAGCCACAAAGGACCATCATAGATTGAAGGCAACATGGGTTGGCCAAGCCTTTCTTTCCAATTTTAGGAGCAAATCAAGGGGCACAGCTATTTTGATACATAAGAAAACACAGTTCACCCGAATATGTCTATGTCATATATAATGTCATAGCTGACCATCAAGGCCGTTTTGTAATAGTTTTAGACCCCCTTAGTAATAACCCGGTTGCGCTTGTCAATCTTTATGCACCTAACTTTGATGATGAGGCATTCATTGGAAAGGTGATTTCATTTCTACCTAAACTCCCACCATCTTATTTTGGGTGGAGATCTTAACTGTACAATGAATCCATTGCTAGACAAATCATGTACTAAGCGCCATGCCCTTTCTAAAATGGCCAAAACATTCTCTTCATTTATGAAAAAATAGGAAGTTTTGACATATGGCGCTTTTTCTATACAAATAAAAAACAGTTCTAATTTTTCAGGTCCAAAAAACATTTTCAAGAATTGATTACTTTTTTATTGAAAACGACTATCTCTCTGCTGTCAAAGGCACGGAATACAGCACTATAGTGATATCTGATCACGCTCCAGTGTTACTTTACCCCTCGTTTACAGTCTTACAAAAAACCTGCCCCACTTGGAGATTGAACATAAATTAAAAAGACAACAAAAAGAACAACTTATGTTTAACATAACCCAATTGGACAACAGGCTGTCAGTATCTCTGTCACCTGAACTAGATCAAATAAGGCACAACCTCCAAATGAATCACAACTTACTCTCAACACAAGAGACTGAAAAGACACTTTTACGATCACATGGATTTCATTATGAGCATGGTGAGAAAGCAGGACGTCTTCTGTCACATCAAATCAAAAGTCAGCTGACATCCCAGCAAATTAAACAAATCAGGACCACCTCGGGCGATCTCACAGTAATACCATGAATAGACATGAAACGTTTTTCAGACAACCTGGAATTCCACCCATATATCCTACGCAAGCAGTTGAGATGGATCAACCGTTAACAACAAACGGAATCACAAATTCTATTAAATTAATGCAAAGTGGCAAGGCCCAGATGGTTACCCTATAGAGTTTTATAAAAATATTATTGACAAAACTGACTCTCTGGACCGGGGCGCCCTTCCTCAAACTCTCACTGAGACTTCAATAATCTAACTACTAAAACCAGGTAAAGAAGATTCTGATTGCAGTTCCTATTGTCCCATCTCCCTCCTAAACAACGAATATGAAATCTTAGCCAAAGCATTAGCCCGTCGGTTTGAACCTATATGCCACACATCATATCACCAGACCAAACTAGGTTCATGAAAAACTGACACTCCTTCTCTAACATTTGCCGACTTCTCAATATTTCTTCCTCTCCAGCATCAAGTGAGACAGCTGAAGTGGTGGTATCTCTGGGTGGAGTGGCCCCAACCTGTTCCTGTTGGGGCTTAAGATATTTTGCATCGGGTCAAAATATATATCCTGGATAACGGTTTCATATTCTTCTCCGAGGGCCTCCATAAACTAATGGGATGAAGTTTCAATATTTTAAACTCGGCAGAGGTTCACACCCCTGAGCTCGTTGTTGTTTGCCACCGCTACGGAATCTCTATCGGTTGCACTTAAAAGCGCCACTTTCAGTCAAGGGATCCTGAGATGTGGCTCGGAACACATACTTTCTCTCTATGCGGATGATTTATTATTGTTAATCTCTGTTTCGATTCCTACAATTCACCAGACAATCGAGCTGCTAAATAGGTTTGGATCTTTCTGAAAAAGTGAATGTTTCCCTGTAAACAATCGAGCCCTTCAGATCCCTGACAGCCACCGCCCCCTTTAAGATACTATTATCCCTTCCTGGAAGGGTTAACTGTGTAAAAATAAATATGCTTCCATGTTTTCCTAAATCCTTTTTTTGTACAATAGATAAACTAATCACCTCCTTCCTTTGGAAAGGCAAGACTCCCAGTGTAGTGGCAACTTAACTAAATAAAATAAAATCCTCTTGCCACTTCCTGCAGGACTAGAAGTTTCTGACTCATACTTTCCAAAAGACAAATTTCCAAGTAATCCAAAGATGAAAGAGACAGGACGATTTAAAGAGACAAAAAAAACCAATGTATTGCTCAAAAAAGGTTAAAAAAAAAATAAAAAAAATAAATAAATGCTAAACTCTTATAAATATCACTCGTTTACTAAAAGAAAACCTCTCGGATTCGACCAAAAACTAAAACCATGGCGGTCAGAAAACTGTTGCTCCTCGTCCTGCTCGGTAGAATGCCTTCTCGTCTGAGTATTTATTCACCTGTACCCACATAGCAATTTACGCCAATTAGCTGCGCTTCACGACAGCAGGAACACTTTGCAGCAGCAAGACACGTAAACTGAGCACTTATAACCACACAGACCTACTATAAACACACAATGTTTCAATACGTGATAAATATAAAAAATGTAAATGAATTCTAAAATTCAAAAGCAAAAACTCTATTAATTATACATATAAATGTATGAATACTAAATTATACTAATGGGCAAATGATATTTTTATGTTACCCTGTTGTCCTCAATGGCTCTAACACCCAGGATCAGGACAGAGTTCTTACAAAGGCAGAGATCTGCAGGGGGATTGGCACTCCCTCATTTAAGACATTATTACTGGGCAACTAATATTCACAAAATGTCCCTCTGGGTCCAGGAACCAACATTAAGCTGGTGTGAACTTAAAGCCAAATCCTGCCCCTCTACCTCATCTTGGCTATGCTAACATCAACATCACTTCCCATACGACCAACCCAACTGAGGTGTAACCCAATCGTCACTTCCACTCTAAGAATCTGGACTCAGATTATACTGGCCTTTGGGCTCCAGGGATTATCTAACCATAGCCCAATTCACAACAACCATCTCATCCTCCCTCCTGGCACTGATATCAATCAATCAATCAATTTTTATTTGTATAGCATCAACTCATAACAAGTGTTATCTCGAGACACTTTATAAAAAGCAGGTAAAATACCTTACTCTTTGTCTTTTAACATTACAAAAGAGCAGGTAAAAGACCTTACTCATTGTTATGTTACAAAAAGAAGGTAAAAGACCTTACTTATTGCTATGTTACAAAGACCCGGCCTATCCATCATGAGCACTTTAGCAAAGCAGCAAAAGTTACAGTGGTAAGAAAAAAAAATGGCCTTTTCCTTATGTCAGAGGTCAGGTCTTGTCAGACTAAAGGACCTTTACTCTGATAGCGTCTTCTGTAGCTTCAGCGACCTGGGTGAAAAATGTAATTTCCCACATTCTCATCTCTTTCGATACTTCCAAGTCCGCAATTTTGTTAAAGCAAATAATGCCTCCTTCCCTAACACTCCTCCTAACTCTATAATCGACTCAATCTAGGACATGCCCATGAATCAGAAAGGCCTCATCTCAAAAATCTACACTGTAATACCCCAGCTCAGAGAAACTTCTCTGGACATTATTCAAAAAGACTGGTAGGAGGAACATGGTAAACATGACAATGACTTGTGTAGTGTTTTATCCCGATTGAATAACAGCACGTCTTGTTCCAGACTTAATCTGATACAATTTAAGGTTGTCCATCGCTCCTATTTTACTAACTCTAAACTCTCCAAAATGTACACCAGTATCTCAGACACTTGTAATAGATTTCACATGTCTCCAGCAAACGTCACATGTTTTGATTCTGTCCCCGCTTGCATGGCTGTTCGTAAATTGGGGAAAAATGAAGTACAGCTTGAGGGGATCGTATGAAAAATTTGAATCTGTCTGGGGCCCTGTGATCAATTATATGACCAATATAATCAAATTAAAGACACTACAGGACAGTTAATGCTCTAACTATGCTCTCTATAAATATATATATATATATATATATATATATATATATATATATATACACACACACACAGTACTGTGCAAAAGTTTTAGGCAGATATGAAAAAATGCTGTAAACTAAGAATGCTTTCAAAAATGGTGTTAATAGTTTATTTTCATCAATTAACAAAATGCAGTGAATGAACAGAAGAGAAATCTAAATCAAATCAATATTTGGTGTGACCACCCTTTGCCTTCAAGACAGCATCAATTCTTCTAGGTACACTTGTACACAGTTTTTGAAGGAACTCGGCTGGTAGGTTGTTCCAAACATCTTGGAGAACTAACCACAGATCTTCTGTGGATGTAGGCTTCCTCAAATCCTTCTGTCTCTTCATGTAATCCCAGACACACTCGATGATGTTGAGATCAGGGCTCTGTGGGGCCATGCCATCACTTCCAGGACTTCTTGTTCTTCTTTACGCTGAAGATAGTTCTCAATGACCTTGGCTGTATGTTTGGGGTCGTTGTCCTGCTGCAGAAATTTGGGGCCAACTATACGCCTCCCTTATGGTATTGCATGATGGATAAGTATCTGCCTGTATTTCTCAGCATTGAGGATACCATTAATCCTGACCAAATCTCCAACTCCATTTGCAGAAAAGCAGCCCCAAACTTGCAACGAACCGCCACCATGCTTCACTGTTGCCTGCAGACACTCATTATTGTACCGCTCTCCAGCCCTTCGGCGAACAAACTGCCTTCTGCTACAGCCAAATATTTAAAATTTTGACTCATCAGTCCAGAGCACCTGCTGCCATTTTTCTGCACCCCAGTTCCTATGTTTTCGTGCATAGTTGAGTCGCTTGGCCTTGTTTCCATGTCAGAGGTATGGCTTTTTGGCTGCAACTCTTCCATGAAGACCACTTCTGGCCAGACTTCTCCGGACAGTAGATGGGTGTACCTGGGTCCCACTGGTTTCTGCCAGTTCAGAGCTGATGGCACTGCTGGACATCTTCCGATTTCAAAGGGAAATAAGCTTGATGTGTTTTTCATCTGCTGCACTAAGTTTCCTTGGCTGACCACTGCGTCTATGATCCGCAACGTTGCCCGTTTCTTTGTGCTTTTTCAAAAGAGCTTGAACAGCACATCTTGAAACACCAGTCTGCTTTGAAATATTTGTCTGGGAGAGACCTTGCTGATGCAGTATAACTACCTTGTGTCTTGTTGCTGTGCTCAGTCTTGCCATAGTGTATGACCTGTGACATGAAACTGTCTTCCACAACCTCACCTTGGTAGCAGAGTTTGGCTGTTCCTCACCCAGTTTTAAGCCTCCTACACAGCTGTTTCTGTTTCAGTTAATGACTGTGTTTCAACCTACATGTGACATTGATGAGCATTAGCACCTGTTTGGTATAATTGGTTGATCATACACCTGACTACAATCCTACAAAATCCCTGACTTTTTGCAAGTGTACCTGTAGCGGCGTTCCTGAACATGAAGTCGCTGAGAGGCTAAGGTTGGGCCTAATGTATTTGTCCGACGCGCTTTCAAAAGAATACTGTGATACATAAAAATAAGTTTAACTTTTTTATTAACATAAAAAAGATAATCAACTTAACTTATAATAACGTGCATCAACTCATAGTCACAGTGAACCAGAAACAATAGCGGTCAACAAAAAATACGGCAACCCAGCTCACCCCCTCTCTTCCACTGAGAACAAAAAGTGAACAGGTGCATTAAATTAATACAACTCCGCCCATACCCATGTGACCCGACATCCCCCTACTCAACACAATCCTAATAAATGATATAATAATCAATAACCCAAAACACCAATATATAACAGACTACCTTAACCTTAAATAAATACCACAAAGACATTTATACCAATCCATGGCTCCAACAGTACCTATAAGAATTGATGCTGGCTTGAAGGCAAAGGGTAGTAACACCAAATAGTGATGTGATTTATATTTTTCTTTTGTTTGCTCACTTTGCATTTTGTAAATTGATAAAAATAAACGATCATTATTTATATTTTTGAAAGCATTCTTAGTTTACAGCATTTTTTCACACCTGCCTAAAACTTTTTGGTTCCTGTTTCCCCTGGTATGGTTATGTTATTGTAATGTATATGTGTGTATAATGTATGTGTGAGTACATGTATGGGTGGGGAGGGGGGGTATGTGACATGTTATCAAGAAAAAATGTTTCCTTAATGATCATTGTATATCATGATATCTATCAAATTAATAGAGATATCTCAAAAAAAGATTGAAATAATCAATAATACGCTGATGTGCCACATGCATGATTGTACACAGCAGACACACTGAGGAGGAGCGTGGAGCAGACTGGGCATTCTGCTCCACGTCTCCCAGTCTGTAGAATGCTCTACCTGACCTCGAGGGCACCACATTCTGTGGACGCTTTGTAAAGGATCCTTAAAACCCCTCTTTCACAGAGCCTTTCGCTAGTGTTTTCAGTTTCCTTAGCTGACTTCCTGTTTTGATTTGTTTTTTATTGATGTAATTGTTTATATTTTCAACTCTGTAGCACTTTCAGATTTAAAGTCTGTTACAAATAAAATGTATTATTTTCATTATTACACAATCTTAAACAGTAATATTCAGACAACAATATTTTAATTAAAGTTTTAATTGACACACAAAAAAATATTTACAGAGATACTGAGAGAAACAAACATTTTTTTTAAATTTACCAAACCATGTGACCACTATAGCACATCACACCCCTGCTGTGTGCTGGGTTGCCTCTATTTGGCACACAAAATGGGCAAAGCAGTGTGCACATGCACACTACCATTACAACAGCACTTTAAAGTTATGTCAAATAATGTAACATAATAACTTGAGCTCTCAAGTGAAATAGAGAGGGAAAGAAAGATGGTGGTACGATTTACAGAGTGATTAGGAACAAACCAAAGTTTGGTGTTTACATATTTAAAGGTACAGACACAGAAACAGCCTGCTCTGAGCAGGGCTGAAATAGATGATGATCAAATACAGGATCAGAGTGGATTTAGAACAAGAAAGTTCATAGACATGTTGTGAGGAGCTCTGAGACACTGGTTAAAAAGGAGTACAAATCGTGACTTTTTAAGATTTGTTATGAACTTTGACGCTCCATGGTAAACTGTATCAGAAGATTTAAGGCATTGAGAAGATACATACATATACAAAACATCACCTTAACTTTTGTTGCAAAAAAGTGGCAGAAATGAAGTTGTTGTCTTTGTGCAGAAAAAGGAAAGCAAGACTTTGCTGCTTTAGCAACTGGGCTAAACGAGCACTTTGATCAGATCCCCTTTTGGCATTACATTTTACTGCAATCAGAGGAGCTAAACTGTTTCTCTCCTCTGTAATGTGCCATGTGACGTTTTAGACTCGACCTTTGATTAAATCTTTTGGTGCAAACAGAACAGCTAAAGGGTTTCTCTCCTGTGTGAACTATCTTGTGTCTGTTCAAACTGCCTCTTCGGTCAAATCTTTTACCACACTCGGAGCAGCTGAAGGGTTTCTCTCCCGTGTGAAGCAACATGTGTTTGGTCAGACTTCCCTTTACATTAAAACATTTGTTGCAAACAGAGCAGCTGAAGGGTTTCTCCCCTGTGTGAATTCGCATGTGTTGGTTCAAAAGCCATTTCGTGAGGAATGTTTTGTTACACTCAGAGCAGTTATTTGATTTCTTTTCAGTCGGCGGTCTATGCTCGCCAGTGTTTTCTACAGATTTGAAACCTGGCTGGCGATCTCTTGTCTCTTTCCAAAAATCACTGTCTACACTATCATCAGATTGACAAGAGTCTTCAGTCTTAACCTCAGTCTGTATTTGTAAACATCTCTCTGGTTCTGTTCCTCCACAGTCCTCTCCATCAACTCCTGTTTCCATCTGTTCAGTTTGTCTCTGATGAAGCTGTGAGGACTGAGGTTTCTCTTCATCATCTTCACTCTTCACAGAGACAGGAGTGAAGGGGAACATGGTGGTATCAGCCTGACTGATCCTGAATTCCTGCTGTTCCTCCTTGATAAGTGGGGGTTCTTGTTCCTCCTGCTTTGCCCCTCTGAGTAGCCCTATGTGGGCTATCATGTGTTGGCCCACATTTCCTCTTTCTGTTAACTGGTTCTCACATCCTGAGCCACTGAAAAGTTTCTCTTCTGTGCGATTGTTTCTATGGAGTTCCAGAAGGTGGTTGTTGTTAAAGTTTTGATCAGAGTCAGAGCAGAAATCATGTTTCCTATCAGAGTCAAATTTTGCTGCACTCTCGAAGACATTTCTTAGAGAATCTAAACCTGACTGATTTGGTCTGGTTTCTCTCCAATCTTCACTGTCTTCAGTCTCAGCCTCAGAAGAGTCTTCAGTCTCTGGTTGTAAATGTCTCTCTGGATCTGAGTCCCTCTCTGGTTCTGCTCCTCCACAGTCCTCTCCATCAGCTCCTGTTTCAGCCTCTCTTTTCTCCTTAGTTTGGTTTTGAAGATCTGCATCCTGACCTCCAACACACTTGTGTCTTTTTAACTGTTTGGGCCAAAAGAATCTTAGGTCACGAACAGAGCAGTCGTAGGGTTTCTCTCCTCTGTGATGAGCCATGTGAAGTATCAGAGCAGACTTGAGGATAAATCTTTGACTGCAAACAGAGCAGCTAAAAGGTTTCTCTCCCATGTGAACTTCCAAGTGTCTGGTCAGATGGTCTTTACATTTAAATGTTTTAGCACACTCAGAGCAGCTTAAGGGTTTATCTGCTGTGTGAATTCTTATGTGTCTGGTCAGATCCCGTTTCTTTTTGAATGATTTACAACACTCAGAACAGGTATTTGATTTTTTTGATCTCTTATCTTCAATGTTTTGTACAGAGCTTAAACCTGACTGATGTTCTGTAGTCTCTTGCCCATCAGTGTCTTCAGTCTCCGGTTGTAAATGTCTCTCTGGATCTGAGTCCCTCTCTGGTTCGGCTCCTCCACAGTCCTCTCCATCATCTCCTGTTTCTGCCTCTCTTTTCTCCTCAGTTTGGTTTTGATGAAACTCTGAAGACTGACCTCCAACACACTTGTGTTCTTTTAACTGAGAGGACCAAAAAAATCTTTGATCACAAACTATGCAGCTGTAGATTTTCTCAGATGTGTGGATCTCCATATGTTTTGTCAGGTGTCTTCTCCAGACAAATTCTTGATCACAAATTGAGCATCTGAACTGTGTTTGTCCAACGTGGACTCTCATGTGTTTAATCAAAGATTCACTGTCAGTGAAACCTGTGTTACAAACTGAACAGCAAAAATGCTTCTTCACAGTCTGACAAGCCAAATTACATCTTAAGCTTTCATGTCTGGCAAATGTTTGAGCACAAACTGAGCAACTAAACACTTCCTCTCCTGAATGAATCTTCATGTGCACCAGCAGATTGTGCTGACTGACAAATCCTTTCCCACAGTGAGGACAGTTTAGAGATTTGTCTGTAATCTGTTCCTCAGTCTGGCTCTGATAAGGTTCTGAGGACACACCAACACACATATAGCTGATGAAGTCTGACTCCTGAGTAAACCTTTTCTCACAATGAATGCATCTGAGTTGTTTCTCTCTTGTATGGAAAGATGTATGTCTTGTCAAACAATCTTCTGTAGCAAATCTTTTCTCACAAAATAGGCAACTAAATGGTCTCTGCCCATTGTTATATTTCTGCTGTGTGAGCAGAGTGTCAGTGTTTTTGGATGATTTATTACATGCCAAAGAATCGCAGGAGGAAACCTCTCCACCGTTTTTCAGATAGTTCAGACCTGACTGAAGGTGCTCAGCCTTACTGCATGGTTCAATGTTGACAGTGTTGTGTTTCATGAATTCATGTTTAGCAACATCTTCAGAACAGCCAAATTGTCTCTCGCCAGAACAACGTCCATCATTTACTAAAACTTTATGTCTCTGATAAGTGAAAGCCTTTTTAATGTTTTCTACAGAGTTTACACCTGGCCTATGTTCTTTGGTATCCTTCCAATACTCATCACTGTCTTCAGTCTCATGTACAGAGGAGTTTGCAGCCTCAGTCTCTGCTTGTAAATAACTCTCGGGTTTTGAAGCCTGACCTCCAACACACTTGTGTCTCTTTAACTGATTAGACCAACAGAATCTTTTGTCACAAACAGAGCAGCTGTAGCGTTTCTCACCTCTGTGACGCGCCATGTGAAGTTTCAGAGTAGGTTTATGGTTAAATCTTTTACCACACTCAGAGCAGCCGAAGGGTTTCTCCTCTCTGTGAAGTAAAGAGTGTATCGCCAGACTTCCTTTTTGGTTAAACCTTTTTCCACATTCAGAGCAGCTGAAGGGTTTCTCTCCTGTGTGAATTCTTATGTGTCTGGTCAGATCCCGTTTCTTTTTGAATGACTTACAACACTTGGAACAGGTATGTGGTTTATTTGATCTCTTATCTTCAATGTTTTCGACAGAGGTCAAACCTGACTGATTCTCTCTGGTCTCCTTCCAATCTTCTCTGTCTTCAGTCTCAGCTTCATCAGAGTTTTCAATCTTGACCTCAATCTGTGGTTGTAAACGTGTCTCTGGATCTGAGTCCCTCTCTGGTTCTGCTCCTCCACAGTCCTCTCCATCAACTCCTGTTTCCATCTGTTCAGTTTGTCTCTGATGAAGCTGTGAGGACTGAGGTTTCTCTTCATCATCTTCACTCTTCACAGAGACAGGAGTGAAGGGGAACATGGTGGTATCAGCCTCCTCCAGTCCTTGAAGCTGTTCTTCCTCCTGACTGATCCACAGTTCCTCCTGTTCCTCTTTAATCTGTGGGGGCTCAGGGTCCTCCTGGTCCATAATGTGGCTCAACTCCTACTGCTCCGGTGGAAGCTCTTCTTTACTCACCAACAGCTGCTGGACACAGTGAAAAAAAAAATATATACTGTATATTAGAGAAGATAACTTAACAGCATTTTAAACAAAGCCGGCGCTCATCTCTAACCACGTTGGCTTTGTCGTCTTATTTTTTTGGTGTTGAGGCCTCACCATGAGCTCAAACGAAGAGCAGACAAATTTAGTAAAGGAACAAACCCCCAAAAAAGGCTTTAGTTTTCGAGATACTCCTAACTGAGATAGAACAAAGCACAACCATATTATTTCATAACTTGAACATGTCTAGTTTATGAAACAGATAGTTGTATAAAAATATTTTACTGCAAAATAACTTTTTTTGGATGTTTTATGCATCTTACCAAAAAACGAAAACAGGTCAAATTAGGGCTTCTCCAAAAGGGACAGCTTTAGCCTTATCACATGTATCTCTGGGAATCAGAATTTCACCAAATTTGGACAGGATGTTCACAGATAGTTATTAGTTTCAATTATGCAAAGTTTTTATCAATACCATTTTCAATTTTTGAATTTTTCACACTTAAACACACATGTAGTTTAGGCGGAAATTGAAAATTGAAACAAAAATTCAAAAGGTATGTATATCAAAGTCTGTCATTTTTTAAGTAAGGACACCAAACATTAAAATATGTCATTTTTATCTTCTTTAGACTGTTATCTCAACATAAAAGCAAGTTATTTGACTTTTCACTTGACCCTATGCTGTCACCAGCCCCTAACAGGAAACTAGTGCAGCCAGGATTTCAGGGCGACCTGGTACAATGTGTCCCTATGGATGTGTATGTGGGAGGAGGTGGCCACAAACAATAGATTAAGACTTAACAACAAGACACAATATAATTGTATTCTGTAATGTATATGTAATTAAACATTTTATAGTTATTCCTAATACATTTTGTCTCATTTTCTAACTTACATGTGATTTATATGATGACACTCAGAGTCAACCCGCTGCTTTCAACAATATTGTCACCAATGACATAGTTTCTATTTCATTCTAAAAAATTAAAGCATTGTCTTGACATCAGTTGTGAAATATTAATGAACTTAAAAACAGTATTGATATATATAACCTTGAGTTCTTAGAAATATACTTCATATAGTCTATTTGTATATCGGCCATACGGCCTGTTGTAGTTTTTTTATGTATTTCAGTCATATAAAGATGGTGTGTAGTCACCATATCTCCTGCTTTTAAGAAGAACCCTAGTTACTCCAGAGGATCCACTGGATGAAGGGATAGTTTTTATAATACCCTAAGTATGATAAAGTATTTAAAAAAAAGCTACAATAGCTATTTTTGTTGAATGATTTATCTGGCAACCAATGGAGCTCGGATACAAAACAATTCTTATGATGGCTTGAATGTGTGTAAGGTAAATTAGGATAACAATCATGAAAACATGTTTATAAGAAACTTCTTTATACACTTATTTTACCTCATTATATATAATGACGTTTGATTTTAAATGCTAATTACAAAGGATGATTTCCACTTTTAGACAAAATGACTGTGAACCTGAGAGCTTAACACCGTATAACTAAAAACCTTTGTGTCACACTAAGCATCCCCTGGAGACAAAGTTTGACCTCTTATCTCTTCGCTGATCTTGTCCTGTGCTTGTGTAAGTTGTGTTTACTGATGAAAAATCTCCTTCTGCCAAGTTTGAACCGTCATATGTATCCCTAACTCTGAACCTTGGCTGTAGAAAATGACACCAACCCGCTGAAAGCAGTAATGAATAAGAATAACTTTACAGAAGAAAATATATTCTATCTTAAGGTCTTGTTTGCTTTTGTAAACCATTTAAAGGTATCAGTATAAGTTTAAGTGAGCTCCATAACCAACCAAAACAATCCTCCCAGGAGCTTTAAGAAAACAACTGCTGCAGAAAATAACCATCAACAAATAACACAACCAAATCAGGACAACATAACCAAAAACAACACAACACAACCAAAGACAACACAACCAAATCAAGACACCACAACCAAAGACAACACAACACAACCAAAGACAACACAACACAACCAAATCAAGACACCACAACCAAAAACAACACAACACAACCAAAGACAACACAACCAAATCAGGACACCACAACCAAAGACAACACAATCAAATCAAGACACCACAACCAAAGACAACACAACCAAATTAAGGCACCACAACCAAATCAAGACACCACAACCAAAGACTACACAACCAAATCAAGACACCACAACGAAAGACAACACAACCAAATCAAGACACCACAACCAAAGACTACACAACCAAATCAAGACAACATAACCAAATTATTATTGATGATGATGGTAATGACAATGGTTTTGTTTGATAACCATGAATTTAAGATGGTTTCTATACTGATTGAGCTCCCAAGAACAGCTTTCAATGTTGTGCTTTGCCTCTGTGCACTGCCTGTCAGCATTAGTGTCCGATCTGGCTTAAAGCTGTTCATTTGCACTTACTGACATCGTTTTCCTCCTCTCTAGATCCTCGCTTTTGTTTTACTTACTCTCTAATGTACATTGTTTTGGATAAAAGCGTCTGCTAAATAAATTGTAGAATTGTAGAAATACATTCAACACAATCAAATACAACAAAATAAAGACAAGGCAACAAAAAGTAGACAATACTGACACCATAACCACATGCAGCCAACACAACAAAATGCAAGCCAAGACAACAAAATGCAAGGAAAAGGCATTACCATCTACAGGTAATCCAGCCACAGACAATAGAACATAGCTAAATGTATTTTTAAACAAAAAAGTTGTGTGTTTGGTTATATGTTGTCATTTGTCTGGGCTATTATCTTTGGAGGCAGGGCAATGTTGATCAGACGCTAAATGCTCATCAGACTAAAGCCAGTGAGTGTACAATTGATTTTGATGCCTGCGTAAGGTTTTGCCATCTGCAATCTTTTCTATTGTATATATTTGGTTGTGTTTTCTACATTTGGCTGTGTACCATTTAAAGTACAACATACAGTTTTGTGGTCTGTATTTGTTTGTGGTTTCTTTGATTTGGTTCTGTTGTCTTGATTTAGTTGTGATGTCTTGATTTGGTTGTGGCGTCTTGATTTGATTGTGATGCCTTGATTTAGTTATGGTGTCTTGATTTGGTTGTGGCATCTTGATTTGATTGTGATGCCTTGATTTAGTTATGGTGTCTTGACATGGTTGTGATATTTTTGTTTGGTTGGTTGATTTTGTTTATGGTTATTTTCTGCAGCAATTGTTTTCTTAAAGCTCCTGTGAGATAAGAGGTCAAGCTTTGTTCCCAGGGGATGCTTAGTGTGACACAAAGGTTTTTAATTGTACGGTGTTAAGCTCTCAGGTTCACAGTCATTTTGTCTAAAAGCGGAAATCATCCTTTGTAATTAGCATTTAAAATCAAATGTCATTATATATAATGAGGTAAAATAAGTGTATAAAGAAGTTTCTTATAAACTTGTTTGCATGATTGTTATCCTAATTTACCTTACACACATTTAAGCCATCATAAGAATTGTTTTGTATCCCAGCTCCACTGGTTGCCTGATAAATCATTCAACAAAAATAGCTATTGTAGCTTTTTTTTAAAACACTTTATCATACTTAGGGTATTATAAAAACTATCCCTTCATCCAGTGGATCCTCTGGAGTAACTAGGGTTCACCTTAAAAGCAGGAGATATGGTGACTACACACCATCTTTATATGACTGAAATACATTTAAAAAAAACTACAACAGGCTGTATGGCCGATATACAAATAGACCACAACTGATGTCAAAACAATGCTTTAATTTTTTAGAATGAAATAGAAACAATGTCATAGGTGACAATATTGTTGAAAGCAGCGGGTTGACTCTGAGTGTCATCATATAAATCATATGTAAGATAGAAAATGAGACAAAGTGTATTAGGAATAATTATAAAATGTTTAATTATATATATATATATATATATATATATATCAGAATACAATTATATTGTGTCTTGTTGTTAAGTCTTAATCTATTGTTTGTGGCCACCTCCTCCCACATACACATCCATAGGGACACATTGTACCAGGCCTGAAATCCTGGCTGCACTAGTTTCCTGTTAGGGGCTGGTGACAGCATAGGGTCAAGTGAAAGTCAAATAACTTGCTTTTATGTTGAGATAACAGTCTAAAGAAGATACAAATGACAGATTTGAATGTTTGGTGTCCTTACTTAAAAAATGACAGACTTTGATATACATACCTTTTGAATTTTTGTTTCAATTTTCAATTTCCGCCTAAACTACATGTGTGTTTAAGTGTGAGAAATTCAAAAATTGAAAATGGTATTGATAAAAACTTTGCATAATTGAAACTAATAACTATCTGTGATTTTTTTTTTCCAAAGTTGGTGAAACTCTGATTCTGATTCCCAGAGATACATGTGATAAGGCTAGAGCTGTCCTTTTTGGAGAAGCCCTAATTTGACCTGTTTTCGTTTTTTGGTAAGATGCATAAAACATCCAAAAAAAGTTATTTTGCAGTAAAATATTTTATACAACCATCCGTTTCATAAACTAGACATGTTCAAGTTATGAAAAAATATGGTTGTGCTTTGTTCTACCTCGGGTAGGGGTATCTCAACTTTTAGGGCTTTTTGGTTCCTCTACTAATTTGAAGAAAAACTGTTAACATGAAAGACTATTTTCTGAACACCACTCAACCAGATGTTTGACCTCCTCTCTGTAGTGTGTCTCCTGGTTGTCTGTAATGAAGCAACATTGGGAGCAAAGTTTTGGACAC